AGAGACATATAGACAATAATACTATTTCACTCAAATATCTTCCTAAATGTTAATATTCCTTTTTTGATTTTTGAATCAAAGTTATAGCAATAGACAAGACTTGTTTGCTTACATCACAAGACCTGAGCAAACACCTACCCTTCTACCTCTAACAATGCAGACTTGCATTTCAAAGCTCTATTCATTTACATATCTTCCTAACCCGTTTCTAAATTTCGGACGTGGGTCAGGTCAATCTGTGAGTTAATTAACTCTTTCTGTCACCTTCCAGTGAAATATTATATTACACTCATAACGTCACACAGCAGTCATGAGTGAAAGAAGAAAACACTCCTTTGGGGCAGCATTCAGAAAAAGCTTTTCTATCTAAGCAGGAAGGAGCTCTCCTGAGATACATAGACACAAATGTTCACAATGAGCCTTCCGGCCCCAGTGAGGATGTGAGTGGTGAGGAGATGCCTGATCTTCCAGTTAGTCAGAGTGCAGGTGACCTGGCAGCTACTGCAGCATCCATATCTCCATCTCAAATGGATGTAGCCATGCACATGCATTCCTGAAGAAAAGTCTAGATCAGAGAAGAGTGTGGTGGAGGCGCAAGAAACAGCTGCTGCTGAGTTTAGTTCCTTAAGTCTAGATGATCCAGGACTGTGGACCCACTTGAGCAGTAGCCTGAGGGACTTCCTTGTACTGCATGGGCCACAGCAAGTGAAAAACTTCATGTTCCCCAAAGACAATGAAAATAGATGTTTCCATCAAATACCTATTCTAGTGACATATAGGAGAAATGCTTAATGAAACACTGAATGAAATTGAAATAACCTATTCTTATTAATGGAAAATCGGATGTGTTAAAACATATGTGTGTCGGTTGAAAGCTGACTTGTAAGGACTGTTTATATCTCATTGCTTTTCTGTTGATTTAAATGAGTAGCATTTTATCCTCAAATATTAAATGTAATCAGTACTCCATTACTGTTTGACCCCCAAAAAAGTGTAACAAAGAGATTATAAAACAAAACACTGGAGTTTATATGTCATGGGAGCTGGCCCTTTTAGAGGAGACAGGAACCAGCCTACCAGACAGGCTCCTATAAGGGTGAATCCAGCCAACTCAGACCCACAAGGAAGTAATTCAATCCCTAAATGGCTGGCTTGCAGCTAATGAGCCTGATAAAGGGTTATCAGGGCTCAGCTTAATTGGTTCCTAGAGACAGGAAGCTCCTGAGGAAAGTAGCTCCCAGGAGAACTGAGGAGAAGAGCTCATCATAGCAAGGGCACTGGAAGGTGTGCTGTGAAGAACAAGGAACTCTCACATAGTGGCAGGAAGCCTAGCCTGTCAGGAACTACATACTGCCCCAGAGAAGAGCTGTAGCTGACAGATCTCTGCAAACTCCTGACTCTGGAAAAGGATCCTCCCAGGTACGGGCAAGAGGCCTGACTTCAGAGAAGGGACCACAGCTGAGAGAACCCTGCTGGCAGGAAGTGGTGGATCCAGGTGGGAATGAATAAACTAAGACTGACTCTGTCTCCCAGCTAAGATGCTGGGAGGAGGGCTTGCTTGTGATTTCATCAGGTCTGTGGTTGATAAGCCGGACACCTCAGAAGAAGATTTTGTTTCCTGTGTGAAGCCTTAATGATATTATTGATGACATTAGGGGAAACAGAGGTAGAAAGCACATACAATGCCACACTTGGCTAGAAGGGGGCACAATAGGATAGGTACATCCTGTGACAGTGTATTACAATAAATCAATATATTAGTTACTAAATACTATCTCAATGTCATGTTTAATAAATATTTCACTAAATCATTCATTCACAGAGGAATTTGAAACCTTAAATACATATGAATAAAGGCACATGTTTTCTTTGCAGGTTTACACCACCATCTACTATATGTACCCATAATGGTAATACAAAGCTCTATTTATCTTATCTCTGCATGGAAACATTATTCCCATATATGTTTCAAACAGCATTATCCTCACAAGTGCCTAACTAGTAAGAGAGAAGAAGGGGAAAAACATGAGTGAAGCCATATTTGAGGCATTGTTAGCAGCCTACAGCCATGGAAACACATTAGGATAATTTCCCTGCAATAACAGATTTTTTTTAGATTAACCCCCAACCCTGACACAATCCTAATTCCCTGATAATCAAAGAATGAAACCTATTGAAAGCAATAATAAAAGATGTACAAGCTCATTAAAACATAGTTATATAAATATGCATACGCTGAATGAATAAATAATTCTTTAAATTTGTGCCACTGACAAGCACATACCAATGTATTCTGTCTTTGGGATGACGTAAAATTGAGACTCTGAACACTTTTAGCCATTAAATGCTGGGAGAATACAGCAAAACAAGTATTTCATTTTTGGGGGTCTCTCCACTTCCCAGCCTCAGCTGAAACTGGGAGCCAAAATAATCAGTCCCATTGACTTAAATGAAGTCAGGATTTCATCCAGTATTTCTGACCATGCCCATATAATTCTTGTGAAGGATACCTATCTTAAGAGATCTCCAACCCAATTTTCTCCCCCAAAAGGGTTGGGAAACACTAGTTCTTTTTGGGTCAGTAACATTATGCATAATGGCAGTGGTGTTATTTTGGCTGATCATATAACACAATAAAGGGAATAGGAATCTAGAAAAAAAATAAGTATTTGTTTCTTCTCCTGTCTCCTGCTGAATCAGCTGGAACAGCGCCTATTTGTGTGTAATACTATATAGCAGGGGTCGTCAATGTTCGGCACGCGGCTCGCCAGGGTAAGCACCCTGGCGAACCGCATGCCGAACGTTGCCGACCCCTGCTATATAGTGTTGTGACATGTTTGCTAGTGGCAGAAACCTTTACATGTTGACTGTTAATCAAGTGGCATAGAACCTAGTATCTTCACTGTGAAAGACCTCCTTATATTATTTCCTTTCCTGTGACTTTCTTCTCACATTTCCTCTGGGAGTAATTATTTCATAAAGTAACTTCACCTGTTCTTGAGTGTTAGTAGAGAGCAAAATTGCTGCTAATTATTGTGGTTGCATTTTTCAATCTATTCTGTAACACCAGGAATTAATCTCATATGAAATTTGATCTGCGAACAGGTCCCTTAGCTTGTTAAGTTGATGCACTAGTAAATCAGTGTTTTGTTTTACTCTTTATTGAATAGATTCATCCGGTTCTTAGCTTCAACAAAAACTGGGTTGACTGGGTCCTACTAACATGCCAGAATAAAAAATCAATAGTGTAATGCCACTTGTAGAGCTAGTAGTTCAAAAGGTATTTACATGCTATAATTTATCGAAGAACCAACATTGATTTAATATAGATATTGGGTCTTACAGACAATTGCAACTGAATACTACTAAAGGAGGTGAGAGTGGGGAGATGGCCAGATCCTCAATTGGTGTAAATCAGGAGAACCAGATTGGAATCAATGGAGCTATAGTGATTTACAGCAGCTGAAAATCTGATTTGGAGACTATGCCTGCTATAGGTTCTACAGTGGATTACAGTGATTTCATGAACATCTTTATTAAAGGCTGTTAAAGTAGTCCCTGTGGTTTTGGCACAGTTAAAATACATCCTCCAAGAGTATGACTATGTTTTAGTCAGTAATACTTTGGTGTTGATGCAAAAATGCATTGTAATTGTATACTCTGCTGTCAACCTGAGAAGTGTAATAAGCCAGGTGTTTTAACAACAACTTAAATCTCAGGAGAGCTTGAAATTTTTGACCCTAAATTTGCAATGTAATGATGCCAGATTTTCTGGACAGCTTTATATGCAATTGAATCTCATGTACTGTGGTCCAAAAAAAAAAACTGTTTAAAAATTAATCCCCTAACCTTCTTTTTTCAGCTGCTGTATGTTCTGTAGACCAAACATTTTAAACTGCCTTCCACTAAGTAAGGGTTATGCTTCCTTACTCACACAATTTATTTCCTTAATGCTAACATCTATCATTGTAAATTGCAGCTGACGTACATACTCTGCAAAGACTTTTCCTTTGTTTCCTTGTAATGTTCATTTTAACACCCACATGTTTCTAACTACAGGAACTGACCCAAAAATTGTCATAATTTTAAGTCAGATAATTAATACCATTCACACAGGAGCAGTGTACACACAATGAATCATTCTAATTTCTTTCAGAATTTGCAAATGCAAGTCAAATGTGTGTGAGGTGGTGTTAAATCACCATCACCACCACACAGGCACACAAAAAGTCATTGTTAATTTAACTTTCAGCTAAGGTTGCTACTTTAATGTTGAAGTTAAAGTAGGTATAACAAGAAATATTATAGTTTCAAATCTAGTGCATTTAAATGTATGGTAACTAAAGATAACTAAATATGGATCTACTTTTGTAAATATCTTAATTTTTTCCCTGAAAGCAGTGGTACAAGTAAGCTGGTACAGTCAAGTATGCTGTACCATTAAGACATTTATTGCCGGTACGCCATACCGTAAAGACACATTTTCAGAACCATAGGGCTCTCCTGGGAACTGCAGCAGCAAAAGGAGAAGAATATGGGAGAATTCTCCTGTCCTCCGGTGGGGCTGTACAGACCCCAGACAGGAGATGCAGCTATATGGAAGGGCTGGGGACAGAGCTAAGGGTGGTATACCTGCACTGAAGGACCTGCTGGTGTGGGGCGCTGGTTCCTGGGAGCGGCGGCCCCACATTCTGCTCCTTTTGCTGTTGCGGTTCCTAGGAGAACCCTGTGGTTCAGCAGATACCAATTTCTATCCATGGATATCCACATCCATGGGTATAAATTTGTATCCCCACAGGGCTCTAGTCGCGGAACAATTTTCGTGACGGGTGTGGGGTCAGTGGCTTGGTACCGTATTGGTAAGAGTTAAAATATACTTGCACCACTGACTAAAAGTAAAAGCATAAAATATCACATTCCGCATTCTAAAAACTGTACCCCTCAATAAACCTATCCACCATTCCCCTAACAAGAATATTCCTTCATCATAACTAAAACAGGGACATTTCTGAAATCATTGACCAGAAATGAAAATCTACTATGTCCAGATGACATCTCTACTTCTACATGCCCTTCATGCTAAATAACTGTGTAAAGGGGGATATGGAGCCTATGTATGGAAGATGAGGGAGAAGGAAGAAGAGTATTTATGGTAAATATATTGATCCTTTACTTCATATATGGTGTAGGTGGATTGGACTTTCTGTATCAAAGGGGGATAGTGTATGGGGAATAATATTTTTTCTAAACTGAATACAAGATCTGATTTTTTACATGCAGAGAACCCATAGCTCCTGTTTATTTCACTGGCAGGTGTGGTTGCGCTGCATCATCAGGCCAATGGATAATGAGATATAATGTCTTGCTGTCACTAATCATATTGGGAAGGGGAAGAGTTGACTCTCTTGATGGAACAATGAGGCTAAGAGGTCTGTGGGCCATATGGTACATGGTGGGTTGGTTGTGTTTTTGTAGGGGTTTATAGTCCATGTTGACTGTGGGTTGGTGTAAAAGGTGTCTTGACTATAGATTGAAGTTGGGGGTGAATTAACGTTGTTTTAATGGGCAGTGAGGTACTTTACATGTGTACATTTATTTGAGATCATATGAATGAGGATATTTAAATATTGTTCTCTCTGACTGTTAATTTCCACATTGTCAAACACTATTTTAACTGTAACAAAAATAAAATTTAACTTCGGTGTTAAATGGGAACCATAACTCAAAGGTAATATATTTTTGCCAATTCACAAGATACTTAGTTGTTCTCCTGTTATATATTGTTCACTGGGACCAAGATCAGTCATAAGAACAGTCATACTGGGTCAGACCAAAGGTCCATCTAGCCCAGTATCCAGTCTTCCAACAGCGGCCAATATCAGGTGCCTCACAAGGAATGAACAGAACAGTAATTATCAAGTGATCCATCACCTGTTGCCCATTCCCAGCTTCTGGCAAACAGAGGTTGGGACAGCATCCCTGCCCATGCTGGCTAATAGTGATTGGTGGACCTATCCTCCATGAATTTATCTAGCTCTTTTTTTAATCCTGCTATAGTCTTGCCCTTCACAACATCCTTTGGCAAAGAGTTCCACAGGTTAACTTTGCCTTGTGTGAAGAAATTACCACCTCTTGTTTGTTTTAAACCTGCTGCCTACTAATTTCATTTGGTGACGCCTTGTTCTTGTGTTATGAGAAGGAATAAATAGCACATACTTATTTATTTTCTCCACACCAGTCATGATTTTATAGACCTCTATCATATTCCTCCCTTAGTTGTTTCTTTTCCAAGCTGAAAAGTCCCAGTCTTATTAATTGCTCCTCATACAGAAGCTGTTCCATACCCCTAATCATTTTTGTTGCCCTTTTCTGAACCTTTTCCAATTCCAATGTATCTTTTTTGAGATGGGGTGACCACATCTGCATGCAGTATTCAAGATGTGGGCATACCATGGGTTTATATAGAGGCAATATGATATTTTCTGTCTTATTATGTATCCCTCTCTTATGATTCCAACATTCTGTTAGCTTTTTTGACTGCTGCTGCACATTGAATGATGTTTTCAGAAAACTATCCACAATGACTCCAAGATCTCTCTCTTGAGTGGTAACAGCTAATTTAGACCCCATCATTTGATATGTGTAGTTAGGTTTATGTTTTCCAATGTGCATTACTTTCCATTTATCAAGATTGAATTTCATCTGCCATTTAGTTGTCCAGTCACCCAGTTTTGTGAGATCCCTTTGTAGCTTTTTGCAGCCTGCTTTGGACTTAACTTTCTTGAGTAGTTTTGTATCCTCTGCAAATTTTGCCACCTCACTGTTTACCCCTTTTTCCAGATCATTTATGAGTATGTTGAACAGTACTGGTCCCAGTACACACCCCTGGGGGACACCAATATTTACCTTTTCCATTCTGAAAACTGACCATTTATTCCTAACCTTTGTTTCTTATCTTTTAACCAGTTACTGATTAATGAGAGGACCTTCCCTCTTATCCCATGACAGCTTACTTTGCTTAAGAGCCTTTGGTGAGGGACCTTGTCAAAGGCTTTCTGAAAATTTCAGTCCCTTAATTATTCGCTATGGGCAAAATTCTGAAATCTTTACTCAGTTTTTACCCAGTTCTTTGGAGTTGGCCCAAATAAGGACTCAAAGACAAATCCTGACAGATGTCATGCACCTTATACTAAGTGATAAGCACCCTCTTTTCTCACACTGAATGCAATGGGAGTTCAGACTAGAACGCTTCTCATCGTCCATGAATGGACTCTGAGTAAAAACTAGCTTCTTGTGAGTTTGAAATATTCTCTAATCACCATTAATTACATTAAACCCAAATGGCAGGAATTTCACAGAGCTGAAGGGAATGAGAGCCATAAAGTCCAGAAAAAATAGTTACCATCTTCATACCAAAGAGGCTTGCAAAAGTCCAAGGAGAAATAAAATTAGAAACTAGAGAAGAAAAGTGCTTATTAGATGCAATCTATTTTCTCATCATATTCCACAATTCTCTTCTCTGTCACCCACTGTCCCCAGCCCAGGTCATTTTAGGATTGTTCCTCATAATGTCTCTTCTGGTATTTTTTTTTTCAGTACCATTTGACATTATTCTAACAATAGGACTTCCACCTTTTCCCTTCAGAAGCTATTAAATAGTCCAATGAACCTTGACACTAACAACTTTCCCCTGATGACCAGCCTAAATTTTACTTGGCTTAATTTCATGTCATTGCTCCAATACTAAATTATCACTATGTATTGATCTAAATTCTTCTTCTGTGTTGGTATTTCCAGACGAGAGATTAGTGAATACAAACCTCAAGAAAAGTAGCAGGTTGTCTCTGCAGTCCATATCAACAAGAGAAAGAAAATGAGGTGGAAAAGAGAACCTGCCAGGGTGAAGTATATACCAATTTAGAAGGTAAGAGACAGAGGAGACTAGTTCAAAACAGTCGGCGCAAGGGCCGCTGTTATAATCGTCACTGACGCTGATTTTTACACCAGATAATATCAAAGACACTGAGTATTTGATTTCAGAAGTGTCTCTCTAACCAATGACACATAGGAAAGTGACCTGGCAAGCCACTAACTTGATTTTATTGTGTTCAGAGATGTCCTTTTTTGTTACTTTTACCCTGAATCCGTCTCAAGGAGAGGTGGTCAGGTTTCTTGACCCTCTTACTCTCATCGTTATCACAGAAAATGATTCCAGAACTGCAGAAGTGGAATAAAAGGCCATCCTGAAAAGCAAAGAGTTAACCACCCATCATTAGAAATGGATTTTATTCTAGTTTTCATGATAGTCCAGTAGGGAACAGAGAAAAGCAAGAGGAATGGTAATAGCAGCATTCACAACAATAGTATGTGTATCAGATTGAAAGACAGAGAGACATCCTGGAACAGAAAAATCTGGGGAATCCCCATCCTGGCCTTATCTCAACAGTTCTCTCCTCTAGAAAAGAGAGACTTGTTTGGGGGTATCAGACTGCAAGTGCATAGTGCAACTAGTGCTCTTTCGACATCAGTGTCTCAGTAGAAATCCTTAAGAAAGAACTTCAGAACAAACTATGGAGTAATTTGTCTTCATCTTTAACTTCTCATCCCTATTTTTCCCTTGACACTTTCCATTTTGTAATATTTCCTTGCACTTAGCTTCTCATGGCTCCTATACATTCAGAATTTTATCCTTAAACAAACCCTGCTCGTGCTAATAAGATTAGAAAAAATCAAAATGATAAGAGACAAAACTGATTATTGCTAAAACTTTAAAATTATTATTTTGCTTCAGATTTCATAACTCATCTTGTCTCCTTTCCCAGGTTCTCAACATGCACAGTACATAGGACAAAACTTTTTTCTTCCTTTCACTCTGACATATAGCTGATCAGATCATTTTTGATGAAATTTCATTTAGTTGAAATAGGCTGTTTTTTCAAAGCAGAAGGAAAGGGAGATTTTTCTCTCACTCTGTGTAAGCCTGTTGGTTAGACCTCTCACCTGAGATGTAAGGGATCCAGGTTCAAGTCCCGTGGATTCAGACTCTGGGATGAAAATGCTGCTCTGAATAAGGCAGAGCAGGGACTTGAACTGGGATCCTCCCACATCCTAGGCCAGCCACTCTTGTCTTGTCTTGTTGAAGAGAATAGCTCAGGTTTCTATCCAAAACTGGACATTTCAACATAGTTCAGTTTTCACAAAAAACATGTGAAAGGTTTTATTTTTGATCCAATCTGAAACAAAACCAAACTTTAAAACCTCTAAAAAGTTGGGCCGAAATGGAATTCTCTTCTGACCATCTCTACTTTTATGTAATATTGATTTACACCTTTCACTTGAGCCAAACAAAAAGGATTTGTGACTAGTAAAATGTTTGTCTTATTAAAAATGTATGAAAGTCCTACAGCTAAAAGTGATTTTTAGGGGAGAAGCTGATGGAAAAACAGGGAACCCTGCTTTCTTAGAACTTGTTCTAGCCTAGAGATCACTTCTCAAATAGAAGTGTATTTCTAATGCACCCATCTATCTGTTCACTAATGGTGGCTAGAGCTCTACCAACATTTTTTTACACTTTTGGTAACATGGGGAAATTTATGCTTGTTACCATTTCCACTTGGGGGGGGGGTGACTCTTCTGACATCATCCACTCATACAAAATAATAGTTAAAATCTGTTTTTTGCATTTAAAAACTCACTTTCTCTGCCTCCACATTTCTGTTTTGCAGGGAACTTGCCTATTTGCTAGAGAATTTAAAGACTGGAGGAAGGGAAATGTGATATTGAATTGGACCAGGGGTGCATGTAGTCAGTCTAGTATCTTGCGTCTGATAGAGGCTTATTTTTTCATGGTGGGGGAAATGACCTTCCCTTCCCCTCAACTTTTAGACTTGATGAGACCATATTTCCCCGCCTTACCCTAGAGCTTTTGGCTGATGAGAAAGGAGGCTGAGATTGAGGGAGAAGAGAGTGTGAGGGTGCTTTCGGAAACAAATATCAACTGGGCTTCCCCCTTCTGTATGCTGGATGTCATTCAGCTGCTATGGCTCCAGAGACAGATGCAGTACAGTTTCCTGCCTCCAGAGGCTGCTCTGTTATTTGCTGGGCAGGCAGGAAACTGAAGCTGGGTTTCCTGTTGAAGCTAACTCAGTCTGGATGCTCCTTCTTGACCACCAGCTGAGTGTGGAGGCCAAGCCAGAGAAACGGGGGAGTTCAGTTGGCTGAGGTGGAGTTCCGGTCCCTGTCCTCCTGACTGCCCAGCATATACCAACAATAAACCATCCATCAGGTTTTGGGAGAAGGTGGTAGAAGATGTCTATTTCTGTGTCTTGGTTACTGGGTTATGCAGAAGGTCAGACTACATGATGTAATGGTCCCTTCTGCCCTTAAAATCTATGAATTGTATATGAGATTGTAATAAACATATAGCTAAGGGTAGCATAAAATCCCTCTTTACCCTGTAAAGGGTTAATTCCTCTTTTACCTGTAAAGGGTTAAGAAGCTCAGATAACCTGGTTGGCACTTAACCAAAAGGACCAATAAGGGGAGAAGATACTTTCAAATCTGTTGGGGAAGGTTTTTGTTTGTGTCTGTTTTTTTCTCTTCCAGTCAGTAAGGAACCAGGGCAGGAAAAATGCATCTCCTTAAGCATATCTGGACTAAGCATCTAGTATTGTAGAAATAGTAAGTAATAGCAAAGAAATGCATTAAATTATCTTTTGTTTTAGCTTGTGAATTTTCCCTGTGCTAAGATGGAGGTTTATCCCTGTTTTTGTAACTTTAAAGTTTTCCTAGAGGGGAAATCCTCTGTGTTTTTGAATCTTTTGGTATTCTGTAAAGTACTTACCATCCTGATTTTACAGAGGTGATTCTTTTACCTTTTCTTTAATTAAAATTCTTCTTTTAAGAACCCAATTGATTTTTCATTGTTCTTAAGATCCAAGGGTTTGGGTCTATGTTCACCTGTACTAACTGGTGAGGATATTATTCTCAAGCCTTCCCCAGGAAAGGGGTGCAGGGCTTGGGGGAATATTTTGGGGGAATAGGACTCCAAGTGGTCCTTTCACTGATTCTTTGTCTAAATCACTTGGTGGTGGCAGCATACTGTTCAAGAACAAGATGGAACTTGTGTCTTGGGAAAGTTTTAACCTAAGCTGGTAAAAATAAGCTTAGGGGGTCTTTCATGCGGGTCCCCACATCTCTACCCCAGAGTTCAGAGTGAGGAAGGAACCCTGACAGAGAGATACAGCACATAGACAATATAAGTGATGATTAGGCTTCATATATTTGAGCAATATTTCATGAAAAAAGAAATAAAACATTAGTTTGCTTTATTCAAATCCTCCTGAAAACATAACTTCTATAGTTTTGCCTTTGAGAAGTAAGCAGGGAAGGAAAAAAATCGTGAGTGAGGATAGGGAAGTAATGTAATAATCAAGATGTTACATACCGTACAGAAATGATTAATTACAGGTTTTTTTAATTGTCACCCTTGTTCTTCCTCTTTCCCTTCCTCTTCATCTGTTAGGATCCAGGAGAGTTCTCGTGTCAGATTTAGATTGTATGCTTTTCCTGGCACAGAGCACGTCTTCACCTATTTGTGAGGTGCTTAGAACATAGTTTGTTAAAAATAAAACTATATGATCTGTATATTGGTGAAGGGGGTAGCCTCGGTATTCAGAGGTAACGTCACAAATTTTAAAGCAGTTCAGTGTGTCTCTAGTTTTTATGTAATGCTATGATATTTTATTACAATCTCATGTCCTTCTTGTCCCACTTGACTGTCTCTAATGCCATGGAAATGGAGGATTTAATCTATCTGTAAATACTGAAAGGTGTGCCGTTACTTACTTGTCTTTCTCATAACTTTTTTTTTATCTTGTTTCTGAATAACAAACCTTCATTTAGACCATCCTGGTCTCATACACTTAACAAAAAACAAAAAATTCTTTCAACCCTTTAAGAACATTAAAACAACAAAGCTATCTATGATAGTGAATACTGGCACATGTTCAGGGTGTTTTTGATGAAAAATTTAAAACCTTCATCAGACAACCACCACTTAATATTATCACATGAGATGATCAATTATATTTGACAGCAGGTACCAACTAGCCTAATCTGCTTTTGATGAGATCATCTATGGAGAGGTTAGATGCAGGAGAGACAGGGCAAATTTTTAAAATTGACAGTCAGAGCAATGGAAACACATTAACATTGAACAAGTCCTACTGTTGCAGGATATAGCAGAAAACAGTGTAAAAATAGTTGTATATTATCCAAATTGGCTCATTTGCCATGCAGGCAATCTTCTTAGTCAAGGCATCTGGTTTCTCAGAATGAGCTCCAGCTAAAGTACCAGATTTGTCTACAAATCCAACAGCTTCTGTGTCTCTTCCTTAGCAGCTGTCGTCATTAACCATCCAGTTTGTTTCCACAGAGAGGGCAGGTGAGCCAGAAACTAATCATATTTAATTGCACACGCTTTTAGTTTAAAAAAAGAACAGACACTTCTTTCTCCCTAATAACTGTCCTGGGTACAGCAGGCTTTCCCCGTCTTCAGCTGATGGTCACCTCCTACCAGTAATTTGGAGTATAATGTCCATACTAAACTGCTCTGCTGTGCCTTGTGAACTTATTTTTTCCCATACCTACTTTTCCATAAACTTTACATAGTACAATAGTAATGATTTTACTCACATATCCAGAAAAGGACAGTTGTGTGGAGAATGAGGTAGATGGCATTGAAACAGCAGCCAGGGATTCAAGCAAGGAATTTAATCCCAGTTTAGAGTTTACATGGGTGTACAGGGCAGAGTCACTAGACATGACTGGAGACTTGAAATACTAATAGTGCTCTTAAAAGGGTGCACCAACAAGTCTGTATAGAAATTGCCTTAGATAGCTGGCCTTTTGAGAAGGTAGAAC